AGTGAGCGGCCATCCAGAAGCCGGCGACTGATCTGCCTCGCCTGGGAAGAGCGCAATGATGGTGCCAACTTGGGCCAGTGAAGCAACGTCCGTCCTCCACAACTAGACTGAAGAACAAAAGGACAGCAACTTGTCTGTTCCCCATCCCCCAATTCCCCAATAAAAATCTTAAAAAAAAAAAATACGCATTGCATGAAAAATGGTCTTGAAGGATATAGGACAAAACGCTAACAATGATTACTCTGTGCAGTGGCAATACAAGTGATTTTTTTTGTATCCTTTCCCTTTTTGCTCATTATGTTTTCTAGGGTTTCCTTTCCCGACATTGAACATATATTGGTTGTTTACTGCTTAGAGTTTGCTGTAAAGAGAAAAACTCCTAACATTGCCTCGGCCTTGGGGACAGGGCTGCTGGTGGAATGTGTCAGGGTGGGCCTGTTGTCATGACAGCAACAGCTGGGCCGGAGCAGTGGGTATTACACAATTGTACAAGTAGATAAGTAACTACAAATATGGTGAAGGCTATGAAGAAGGCATTCCTGTTGGTGCACTAAGGGGAACCTGAAATACCCAAGTCCAGAGTTCCTGAAGGAGGGCCATTTAAGCCAAGTTTGGAAGGAGGAAGGGCGGGGGACGGAGGATGTGAGTGTAGAACATTCTGAAAGAGCAGCACTTACAAAGGCCCTAGGGTGGGAGGAAACTTGGCCTGTAGAAGAACAGAGAAATGGCTGGTGTGACTGGGGCATGGAAGCATGTTGGGGGTCTGCATTAGTTTCCTGGGGCTGTTATAACAAAGTACAATACATGTGGTGGCTTAAAACAACAGAAAATGTGTTCTCTCCCAGTCCTGGAGATTAGAAGTCTGAAATCAAGGTGTCGGCAGGGCCATGTTTTCTCTGAAGGTTCTATTATAGGAAAGGATCCTTCCGTTGCCTCTTCCAGCTTGTGGTAGCCCCAGGCATTACTTGGCTTGCAGCCTCAGCACTTCTGTCTCTGCCTCTATCACAGGGTGTTCTTCAACTTGTGTGTGCCTGTCTTCACATCATGTTTTTCCTTTTCTTATAAAGACACCAGTCACATTGGGTTAGGGCCCACCCTGATGACCTCATCCTAACCAGATTACATCTGCAAAGACACTATCTCCGTATAAGGTCACATTCACAGGTACTGGGGGGTTAAGACTTCAACATATCTTTTTAGGGGACACAATTCAACCCATAAGAAAGTCAGTGGTGTAAGAAGGGGACTTGAGAGTGGGTCAGAGCCCTGTTGGCTGTGAATAGGGCCTCAGGTCCTAGAGGGCATCAAGACTGCTGCATGCATGGGATTGTCCTCGACACTCAGACCAGCTCTTCCAGACTGACCATCTGGCATCCAAAGAGGAAGCTAAGGGCCACAGAGGGAAGTTAGGCCCCAGTTCCAGATTGCTGGGCTCACACACTGTTGCCCTCAAGCCAATGTCACTGAGTGGCATTGCGGTTGCTTCTTCCCTCCAGACACCCTGGAAGTGCTGGTCTGGGCCAGCTCTCATTTCTATTGCCAGCTCCCATGGGTCAACCCTGAAACTTGTCATCAGTGTTCCTGGGAAAGAAAGAAACCTCTAGCACTCATTCAGCCAACACTAGATCTGGGACAGAGCTTATATGGGGTAGGGAGACCTGCGTCCCCTGAGGAACCAGCCTTTTGCCCAACAACCCCTTTCATGTTTCAAGGTCCTTACTATTCATGCACAAAGGTCCCTGAATCCTGCTAGGACAGGGATATTGGGGCAGCAGGGGAGGATTTTAATATCAGTTGACCATGATATAATTTCATTGCACCCTCATGGAGCCAACTAGTGTATATCATGGTCTTTCCTGGACAGGATGCTATCCTAGTAGATGTGATAGAGAAAGAGGGGCTGGATGACGCATGCCTAGGAGTGGGGAAGCACAGCTGGTGAGCTACTGTGTCTTCAGGGAGTGAATAATGGACCCACATCCTCCTGGAAGGTGGTATTCAGCAGGTTGCAGAAATCTACAGTTGTTTTTTGTTTGTTTGGTTTTGGTAATAGCTTTATTGAGATATACGAGTAATTCACGTACCATAAAACTCACCTATTTAAAACGCAAAACTCCGTGGTTTTTACTATATTCACATAGTTGTGCAACCATCACCACAATCAATTTTAGAACATTTCCATCACCTCAAAAAGAAAGCCTGTAGCCATCGCACCTCAGCCACCCTCACCCCCACTTCATTCCCAGGCAACCTCTAGTCTGCTTTCTGTCTCTATGGATTTGCCTATTCTGGACATTTCCTATACATGGAATCATACTATATGTATCAAGTTATCATGACATAATGACAGTACGTGGTGAGCAACCACAACAAATGATAGTGTAGCACTGGATTTACTGACACAGAAAGAGTTTTGTAGTATATTTTTAAGTCACAGATCTAGTTATTACAAAATAGTCCATATGAAATAAACCATGGTGCCTCCAATCAATGAAAT